ATGAGAAACGCGAAATTTAGTATCGAACTGTGCGAATATTAATCCGGTTAACCTCAGATATAATTCCTTGGAAAGTTTCTCAAACCTAACGAGCAGGGTAATTCATTAATATTCGCATTGGCGTAACGATGTCAGTAAACAGGTTTCAATTTTCACGTCTTCAGACTCGTGTACACCTAATCGTTGCTCAAAATTGCGAAATAATATAGCTACTTTATAATCGATCCAGGATGCGTATCGGATTCGCATAAATCGCTAATAATTGCCAATTTATTCCCTGTTCTCCTTTCTGATACAAGGAATCGGATGATGAAACAAATGGAATTCATATTTTTCCTCTCGATGATACCTACGACAACGAGGCATCTTTTTGATCCTTGCGTTGCCCGTTTTTCTAGATATTCCAGCGAAACGAGTATAATTCGCGGATAATGCGTTTCGCGATTTTAATTGGGACTCATTAGCGACAGAAAAATTCGAGTTACGAACTTGGCTGCAAGCATTCCGCGATTTTTAATAAACGCTATCGTTACCGAGCCAATGAAATTAAACTAATTAATATAAACAGAAGGTAACAGCGGTAATAATGATTATACTCATCGTTTTATTCATCGAAAATCGTTTGTCTGCTTTCAAATATATTTTTTAAAGTCTCGTCGAATTTCTCCAAATTTTATTAAAAATTTCGTAACACGGAAATGACTAAAATAAAAATTAGTCCGATTAAAAATTAATCGATCTTGAAGCTCGAGCAAGGAACATTCAAGAAAAGAACCAACAGCTGAGTATCTCGTTAAGAAACACCACGGAATTCCATCGATTCTCCAAAATTTGCTGCAAAACCGAATTAATAATGCACGTTGGAAAATGTAGTTCCAATTTAAACGAATCTCTCGAAAAGATAATTCCAATTTCTCGAAAAAATTTCCCAACCCAATTTCACTCCAAGAGTTACTTAAAAATGCATTCATTGCATACACGCCGAAAATTAGTTCCGAATTTACCGACTCTTAGTTCGAACGAAGCACAAAGTATCAGAAAAGCAATTAATACTTCGATACTTTGTTAAAAAATACTAATCATCCCTGCGAAAAAATTTCTCTATACAATTTCGCTCTGCGAATTCCCCGAAATGGTACTCACCCTAAAATCAGTATTAAATTACTCGATCATGGCATCAAACTATCTCGCATTCCAAGAAACTACTCCCATCTATTAACCTTAAAGTATCAGAAAGGCAATTAATACTTCTATATTTTGTTAAAAAATACTAATCATTCCTGCGAAAAAATTTCTCTTTAGAATTTCGCATTACGAATTCCCTGAAATTGTATTTATCCCGATTTCACCCCAAAATCAATTTCAAATTATCCGAACAGGGTATCAAACTATCTCGCGTTCCAATAAACCACCCCCACCCGCTCACCTCAAAGTATCAGAAAAATAATTAATGCTTGTATGCTTTGTTAAAAAATGCAAATCATCCCTGCAAAAAAATTTCCCTTTAGAATTTCGCTCTACGAATTCCCTGAAATTATATTTACCCCGATTTCACCCTAAAATCAGTCTCAAATTACCCGATCACGATATGAAACTATCCCGCGTTGCAAGAAACCACCCCCATCCGCTGACCCCAGTAACAGCTCGCGAGCCATCCTGCAATTATGAAAAAGCTGGCAAAGAAGGAATCGTTGAACGAATATCGTTCATCGAATTTAATCAAACGCGGGGCGGAGATCCCGCGTCGTTTTTGTATGACGAGCGATGCTCGCGTAACCAGTAGATTTCGCGTCTATTTACCCCGGTTTGCCCGATATCCTCGTCACCCGTCACAATAATGTAACACGTCGACGAATCGGAGAGAAACGGACCATGTTCTCTCCTCCGTGCACAACCCTCCTCTGTGCACCCCAGTCGCGTCGAAGAGAGACACCCTCTAGCCACCGTTTGCAAGCGGAGGAAGCGAGAGGGAGACGCAGGGTAGCAGCGCAGGGGGGAAACGAGGGCTGCGGAGGGAAGAAAGGGAAAAGGGAGGAAAAAATGGCGCGAGTACGGGATTTAATAATTCTATCATTGCAAAAGATCGGACAATTCGACGGACCGTCGTCGAAGCGAGATAGAGACCGCAGACGAACACGCGGTGCTAACGAGATATCTCGTTAAGCCTAGAACGGACAATCGCACGGTGGAGCGGGCTGTTCGACATGACGAGATCCGCGACGAGATCTTCGTCCCACCGTTACGTTTCTCCGATATTCGTTAGAATATTAATTTCACGTTCGCCGATACGGGTAACCACCCCCAATGGCGGCCGTCGTCGTGGTGGAACCGCGCCGGAGGCCCAAGTTTATCGGCGAGCGTTTGCGAATGGCAGCCGCGAATCGTTTCGCGGGCTGAATAAACAAGGAATCCGACTACGTCGACGTTTGCTCGATTTGCGACGACGGAGATACGGCGGATGAAATGGACGCGTTCGATGAATCGCCGGAACGATTACAGTGTTATCGCGATTATGGTGAAGTGTTCGTTAACTGAAAGGAACGCTCGATCCGACGACGAGAAGCCGATCGGGAAATCTATTTTCGCGCTGTTTATGCTTTCTCGATCCGGCGTTTCAAGGCCCGCTGTTTGTCGGAGGATGAGAGAGATGGGTTACATTGCAGGAGTATTTCTGGGAGATTTGTACAGATGAGAATTGCAATTGATAGATGGATAGGCGAATAAATAGGGTAGCGAAAATTACGTTGTCTTGAAAAGTAGGAAAATTATGGTGAATTGTGATGAATTGTGTAAAAGATTCACGAAGAAATTTGAATTATTATAGATTTTGGGTTGTTATGGTGTTTGTAGGAAATTTATAAAATAAAAATTGGAATTGGTAAATAAATAACTCAATGGAGTAAAGAAAATCGTGCAATGTTAGGGAGTATTAAAATTGGGGTGAATTGGGATGGTCCTTATAACAGATTCGTGAAGAAATTTAAATTATTATAGATTTTGGGTTGTAATGATGTTTGTAGGAAATTTGTAAAATAAAAATTGAAACTGGTAAATAAACAACTCAATAGAGTAAAGAGAATCGTGCAATGTTAGGGAGTATTAAAATTGGGGTGAATTGTGATGGTTCTTATAAAAGACTCGTGAAGAAATTTAAATTATTATAGATTATTGGGTTGTCATGATGTTTGTAGGAAATTTGTAAAATAAAAATTGTAACTGGTAAATAAATAATTAAATAGGGTAAAGAAAATCGTGCGATGTTAGCGAATATTAAAATTGGGGTGAATTATGACGTAATTCGAATCGGATTTTATGACCGAAATATATTTTCACTGGATAAATAAATTTTGTAATTCCTGTACCAGTAATATCGAAATTTGCATTATTTGCCATACGTGAAATTGTAGTTAATTTCTCATTTTTCCTGCAATTAATTATTGAACCCAAATGAGTACTAGTACTTTCGGTATCTTCTATAGTTAACTATATTATCATTAAAAATTTCGTCCCGGGAAACAACGATCCCTTGTTCGAATGTACGTTTGAACTATTAAATAGGATCATTTAATAGGCCAAGAGAATTACGTTTTCCCTTGGTTCCTCAAGCGGTCCAGTTTTTATAGTCATTTACTGTATTTAACTACCTGACACATTGGCGCGTATTTTTAAAACCACTTTAAAATACTCCCCTGGTCTGGTTCTTTTGTTGAAAGATCGTGCAAGTGGTGCTACATTAAAGTGTGGACTTACACACAGGTCAAGTAGATTACAGAGTAACAGGTGGATGGTGAAATTGCTCTAACGAGACGTGTCTTCTTAATTGGAAAGATAAAAATGCCTGGCCCGGCGACAAAACGAATTTAAATTTAACGCTTGCTAAGCGATCGGCCATGCCACGAAAAATGTTAACTTAAACGTTGAAAAACGCGTTGCTTGTAAAATAATAAAAATCCTATCCGCGAGTTTGTTCGTTCGCGGACGGGGAAATCGGTATTCATAAAATTTCTCAGTCCAAAATTTTGTTAAAAAATTAATCGATCAAATTTTCAATTAAATATTCATTTTTTCACCGCAATTCGTTAACCAATACAGCATTTCAACCGTAATAAACGATAATAAACAATAAGTAATACGATATTGCAAATGCGAGTGTATAAAATACGGACGTCGATTGTCGGTTACCTTTAATTTTAAAAAATCGGAATAGTACACGCGTACCAACAATAAAACTCGCGATACTATCAGTAATTCCAGATTGCGGATCTCAAAGCCTCGTTAAAATTCCCCTAATTCGGCTAAGCCTGTTTTTACATTACCAAACTTTACTTTCAAACTATTATATATTCCTTTAGTACTTCCAAACTAGAAAAACGCGTGGCGAAAAATCGTAGAAAACGTAAAAAATCGTAGAATAGACAGAAAACGAAATATCAAAATTTGTATAAACCGTATAGAATATATAACAAATTATTCGAAACACGTCGAAGAACATCTTCAAATACATCCCCTAACATCGATTCTATTTTATTATATCCTCCCCAACAAAATAAAAAAAAAGAAATATTTCCTCTCATCCAAATTACATAATTCCTATCTCAGAAAACACTGTCAACGATTAAAAAATAAACATTGGACAAATTTAACGATTAATAAACTACATGTAAAATTCGAAGATTAAGCAAATTTCGAAAGGAAATCTATGCACGTATCGTTACTTACCGAGCAAACTCTTCGACAAACACAGACAACCTTTCTCACCTAAATCGTGGGTTAGATCCGGTAGGGTATTACCGATGAAGCGATCGAACGAATGCAACGATGAGATACAAACACAAAGTCGTTCTCTTAACTCAATCATCCCTTCTATGACGAGTGATAACGCAGCACGGAATTCGATATGCATCGACACCAGAAGGCGTAGGGGGTTACCGATCGAGCGTCGTCGTTTACGTGCGCGCATGATCCTTCGTTCTTCCGGTTCCACGTGTCCTTAATGTTCTTTACGTGAAAGCGAGCATATGGGAGAATGCTATGAGAAGGATACAAGAGGCGGGTGGTAGAATATTGTTCGAGGACGTGGACGAGTATACGTCGTCGTCGTCGAAGTATGGTTCCAAGGTCGAGCCGGTTTCCCGCAAAGAACCTTGGTACACGTGATTCAGTCTGTGATCTGGATCGTTGATCGCTTCGTTCATGTCGTCGTCCCCTCTCCGATCGCCAGGCTTCCTCGAGTGTTTTGGTAGATCCATGTCTGAACAGAGAAAACGATTTCGCGTGGAATTAGTAAGGCGTGACCGGTTTGTTCGTATTTTTCCATTTCGATATTCTCCTCTGTTAGGATTAACCCTTTGCGCTCGAAATTCTTCGGTACAGAGAAGTAGAAGTCCGACGATCTTCTGCCATAACGCGTGATGATAATGGGGTATGAATTAATTTCGTTATTTCATCGTTTTATATTATTTTTAAGTCAATAACGATTATAAATTTTGCAAATTTTTGGTTTCGAGTGCAAAGGGGAATGAATAATAAGGGGAATGAGTCAATGGTTAAACTTGTGGCATATTTCAGGATTGGTTGAAGCTACTTGTGGTTGGAGAAATACTTTAAGTATTAGAAACAGTGGAGAGGTATATATGCACAAGTGCTTTTTAATTGTTATTTTATTGCTAATTTGTGTAATATACGTTGTAACGAATTCTTCACTAAATAACAAAGCACATTAAGCAAGCAAAGTTACATTAAGAAGAGTGAGCGATTTAAGCACTCCTGTATTTGTTATTTTGTAAAAATATATTCAAGATCCTGCGCAAAAAATTGCAATGTATTTTGCCTATTATGTTGATTTCATACGTGTAATAATAAATACTTCGAAAATTGTTAGATATTTCATGTCAAAAGTTAGAGGATATTGTTTTATAATCCGTAGCCAGTAGTATAGGTCGATACATAGTCAGGCAATGCATCAGCTGCGTATACATGGCGCATTGTAAATTTTCCTTTATGAAGTATATATCCGTATGATTCAAAAGAATAAAAGAATACGATTAACTAACAAAATAACAGAAATTTTATAATACTTCTACTATATTACTGTAAAAAAACGTTATTTCTATGAGCGAAAATTATCATTATTGGCGAATAATTTATATGTTCACAATGACTCGAATCACGTTTAAATCAATAATCATTGCGACAGAACTAAATTTAATCATTCTCAAATTACACTTTACCCAACATTAAACGCGTTCATCGAATTTTCCTTCGTTCGCGAATTTTCACGGCTGCGCGAAACTGTTCGCGCGATACCCATCGAGCATAACAATTTGGTCGGGTTGTTAGAGGGACAATTTAAGTGACATCAGACGCCATCCTTTTTGTTGCATGCATAACTCCCTGATAGAAACTGCAACAGGGTCGTGGAGTGGAGCATTTTCACGCTCGACGTCACAGTACATAGGAGGCGGTATTGGCGGAAAAAGAGGAAGCAAGAATTCCTCTCTTTGACGAGGAATTCCTATAGTGGATTCAATTTATACATGTATCGACATGTACACTACTAACACTAATCTGTGCCGGGCATCTCCGTGCAACTGCTTACAAGCGATATTAAATTTGTGCTGCGGTTTCATAAAAATACTTCAGTTTTTACATTCACCCCCGACGGCGAAACCGTGCAACTTGTTATATTAAAATTTCTTTACGACTTCGTTCCTTCGTTCGTGTTAAATTTTGTCTCCGTCGACCATACGTGCACTGTCCTCGATTAAATTTAAATTAACCGCGCAACTGTCCAATTTCGCGCGAAGTACTAAAAATTGTGGAATTATTTTTCAACCAGATCGAATCGTTATCGAATACATGACAAAATAATTGCACGAATTTACATCTCGTCAGAGCCAAAAATTATCGAGGTCGAAACTTACCGATTTCAAGTTTCGCCGAACACGGCTTCCATAGACTGAATTAATCATGCTATACGACCTTTGACGATAGTATACTGAAACGAAAAAAACTGAATCCACGTGACAGGGGATCCTGATTTTTATCTGCATGATATTTTGCAAAATCCTGTTCCATGCGAAGAGAAAAAAATCAATCGGAGATTGATACTATTGGCATTGCACGTTGACACTCGTCTGCTCGCTGGAGGAAAATGATTTTTCAAGGGGTCTATTACGAGAGAAGGAACAATTTGATCAAGCTATCCCGGGGAATCGTCCAATGTAGCTGTAAGAAAAGGAAGGAAGAAGAAAAAACAGAAAGAAACTGCAATCTTCCATCGCGATAACGCAAGGGCCATGTGTTGCAAAATTGACACACCAGAAATTGGAAATTCTTCCGATATTGTTCTCGAAAATTATTATATCTCCCAAGTAATTCACCGAAATTACGAAAATACGAAGGCAAAACAAGCTTGTACACTTCCTTTAGTCAGCTTAGCAAGTGTATCATACACATCGTGTATTCGAAGACAAAATAAGAATAAAGAATTTTGGTTTGGTAAAGAAACTTCGACTATGCAAATTTTGAGTACATAAATAGCCCAGGATGCGAATCAAAATTACACCTGAATCAAGAAATCGCAGCCAACCGTAAATTACAAAATTTGGTACATAACATACCTAGATTTAAAGACCCACCAAAAATTCTGACACCCACGACTAGACATAAACGAAAACACTTCACGGTACAAAATTACGAGTGACAATTACGAATTTCAAAATTCCCTCCTTTCCTATCAATTATTTAAATGGAGTATCCAACATTAGGTGCACGTACACAGAGCCAGAACCTTGTCAAAAAATTCCAAAGATTTACCAGAAACGAAGAACCGGAAGACGTCTGGCGCGTAAAAGCCACCCCCTCGAACGCGAAAATCGTGGAAGTAAGAGTGAAACCAGGCCGCCACGTGGCATAACCGTGGAAAAAAGCAACAGACTCTGATTTGAGCTTGGATGCAGCGTGGAAAATTTCGCAGCGTTGGTGGGAAAAAGGTTAATCGACGAGCGGAGCGTAACGAGCAATTTGCAGGGCGGACTGAATTTATTGCGTATACACTTCCGCGATCGGGTCTGGTCCCGGACAGATGTTGCTGGCCGGCTAGTGGAGAAAGAAGAAGCGTGGAAAAAGAAATGGTCGGAAGGTGGTGAACGGTGGACAAAGGGAACGAGACACCGCCACGGGGTGGATGTCGGCGGAGCGGAGGCCGGGCGCGAGGGGCGGCGAGGGTTGGCGAGGGTGAAACGTGCGGCAGCTCGTCGAAATAGCAGTTTAGCACTGATAGCACTTGGCGGACTTTTATCGATCATGTCTGGCAACAGATGGCTCACCCAATTCCCGACGGCGCGTTTTGTCTGGCCGGTCTGATAAACGATAACTAATACGGAACAGAAGAAGCGGCAGCAAGAGAAAAGGGAAGAGAGACGTAGCGTTGGGGTAGGATGAGGCGGTGGTTGGATATTGTTTCGCGGACTTTTAGCCCTTGACGTGACGTGCCAGCATCTCGCCACTGTCGTCCCATCCTACCACGGCTTGTACACCCCCATCTGGCCCACGAATCCCTTCTTCCTCCTCGTTTTCTCGTGTAGCTACCCTCGATCCTCGTTGTTGTACAGGGTGTGCCGCAGAGACCGCGTCTTTGATCAGTAATTCCGGATTCTCTCGGCAAGTGCGTGCTAGTTCGTCTGTGGTTTACGATCCTTTGGATTTTACTCGCTCGCTGGTAGCTTTATACAGATTTTTTCGAACCTCTGACACTTTGCTGACCAGCGATTTCCAGTTGAAATCAATTATCCTCATTGGGGAATTTTTTGAATATATTTATCAGATGAAAGCATGGGAATAAATTTCGAGATGACGTCTATCGATGACGTGTATTTAATAATAATGTAATAATATACTATAAGGGGTGTGACAAGGGTGGTTCGAAGAAATACGAGTGTGAAAAACTGAAAAGTGTCTTGTCCTGAAAAAGGTTTGTTACACACTGTGCACTCTATTTAATTGCTCGAGTGTCTCTTAGAAACTATTCTGATGACTCCTCACGTGTGAAACTCCTCCCGTACAGTTAGAAGACTAAAATACCCTTCCTAAGAATAGAATAAAGATAATTATAAAGGACGATAGTTATTTCCTTTTATCCATAATCCTAACAGCTCCTAATAATAAAATAAATAATATTTATTTTATAATCGCGAATTTCATTTCGTTTTATCTACGAATTAACGAATTTCGATAAATTAAGTTTTCATGAAACATGTAATATTTCATTTTTATCGTCAAGTTCGGGGATCCCTGTTTGTACATTTTGGAACTAGCGATTGCGGTATAAAAGCGAAACAATAATCTCGTTATCTCGTTTTATGCTTCACGGAGTATCTTCAACGCGATTTTCTTTATTAATCAGCATTTATTGTCGTCGACATTTCATGCAGAAGAATGAGGTCGATAAAGGTAGCTTCTAGTTTCAGTGAAATTATTAGACGGCTGGTGTGGAAATCTGAGTCTCGAACGAAACGGTCACCACAAGTATAAATAATGATTGCTGTTAAACAGGGAATGGCTGAGAATAGAAGAAGCAACTAAGAGAACACAAAATTATTTTACCTAACATTCCCCTGAAAATTTTCATTAAATAGAAACAAAGCATAATAGAATTTTACGAATTGAAAAATGGCAAAAAGAAAATTAATGGAATACATATTTAAAGTATAACGTTACCAAACGAGTAATAATTGCGAAATTATCGGGGCTCTGATTGGAAACCTTAAACTTGGAATTTGAACTCGGTGCTTTCGAACATTACTACTATGCATTTATTCGAAGTTAGGGTACGTACTTCCCTGTCCATTACGCTAACGAATGTCCAATTTCACCGCAATTTAAAATACAAACACCGCTACTTAAACCCACTATTTCTATACTACTTTATATCTCGTTCTAACATACTCATTCCAGTTCAAAAGTGTTGTAATTTCCAGGGTGAAATCACAGCGTCTAGCGTGCAGGGAAGTAACCGTGTTCAGTTGTACAGCAACAGATATATGAAGTTTAATGTAGGACAAATACATACACCTATGCGAATATAAAAAGAACAGGTTTAAACACGTCCTTATGAGTTACAATACTTTAAAAGGGTTCTACACTGGTCTTGATTTGAGACTCGCTGCTCCAAGAGACAGCAGGTCCTTTTAAACCCAAAACTCCCTTGATACCTACATAATTGGTCATACCAATGTTGAATCATCCACT